GCATATTACCAAGTACTTTGTTGACTTCATCAAGGGATTCCGAGGCCAATGCCTTCTGCAAATCTTCCGAGAAAGACTCGAAGATCTTGCGAGCTTCAATCTCTGCCGGGTCATTGCTGTCTGCGGGTGGGATATTGATAGTGATCTTGGTGTTAGGATCAACGGCATGCAATTGAATCTGCTCCACTCCAGCAGGATCATTGGCAGCCGAGCTGTCTTTCGCGAGTTCCGCCGCACGGGTTTTGATTTTGTTGTAGGTTTCGTTCACATCGTTGCGGAAAAGTGTTGCCGCTTGATGGTCTTTCGTCGAGATACTATCGATCAGGCTATCTTAGCAACAATTCCACACACATTTAATGATCAATTTGAACTTACCGCTTGAAGAAAAGTGAGATCCCGTCTCGACCCAAAGAGCGGCAATACTGCAATAACAGCCCCTGGTGTACGCACTGACGAGCATACTCCTCCTTTCCTTCCATCTGGCTGTTGAAAGCTTCAACTAGAAGGCCATCCGTCTCTTTCTCTGCGACAATCTCCGGGTGGTCCGAGATAAATTGAAGCAATGCCCTATAGTCATTACGGTTGATGCGAGCAAACTTCCTGGCCAGATCGCTCGCTTTGACGTCGTCCGGGTCGACTTGCTCACTATCATCAGCTTTCGGGGCATCATCTTGTACTGAACGTGGATTTAGAAGTTCCACAGATTCTGATTTCGCCGTAGCCGGTGCCTTGCCCTTATCCTTTGATTTTGATACGTAGGATGTGTCGAATCCAGTATGCAGCATATCACTCGTAATCTTGCTGGACTCTTCCTTCTCCAGCTGCGCAAGACGAGACAGCAATTCTTTCTGTAACCCCTGAACTTTGTCCTGGTGGCCTTCTACCCCCTTGATGTATGCCTGGTATCGGTTATCGGGACTCGACTCGCCGATCTCCTTCTTAACTTGATCGACTAAAGAACTTAGCATCTGAGAGTACTTCGGCTGCTCCTTTTCGTGTGTATGAACGCCATCTGGTGGGACAGGTGCCTGGTCTTCAGCGGGGTTGCTTGCCGATTCCATCACGGCTTGAAAGACCAGCTCCTCAGGATCCCGTGAAGATCCTTCATGCTCACGAAGCAATGCGAGGAGCTTGTCTATACGTGAGAGGAGACCATCGTTGATAATTCGCTCGTACTTTAGAGTCTCAATCTCCATACGGCGCTGGTGCCGCTGCTGATGGATCTGAGCCTGCTTTGCTCTAATGAAGGAGCGCTTGTCGACATTAGGGTGAACCTCAATGTCCGAATCATCGGACAGTTCAAGAGCATCCCATTTGCTGTAGTCCAAAACCATCGCGGCGGTTGCTGGTAATATGTCTAACGAAAAGCTCTTGCTGGTATGTTATGAGGGGTGCGGCGGGGTAGAAACAAAGTATTAGGACAGTAATAGACAATGAATGATAAAGAGACAATTATGTTCACAAGATGTGCAATTCAAAAAAAAATTGCTAGAGGTTCATTAAGTCTGAATGACTCAAGCTATTCAACCAAGGCCAGCAAGATAATTAGTAGCTTCAAAACTAATGTAAACCTCAATATATATATAGGTCACATGCATCGAAAGCTCTCGATCAGCTTCGATTGCGGCCGAACCTCCGTGGAAAGCGGTTCGAGATGGCAGAATCTGGCGTTCTGGGAAAGCCGCTCTGCCGACTCCGATGCCTGTCCGACCGACCGAACAAGCATAGTTTCAACTTCAGCTGACGCTCGCATTTTACGTCGCATCAGCGGTGCAAGCACCTATCCATTCCTCGAGCAGCAATTGACCTCGACAGTGTCATGATCAGCACAACATTAGTGTTCCCGTGACGAGATATGGCATCCAGCTTCTCTTCCGTGACATCATTCTGAATCCCCGTCCAATTCCGCATCTTCTCTCCAAATTTCCAGATGCGCGGGATTAGATCGCTTCCCTGCTGGGCTCCTGGGTTGAGCACGAAGCGAGTTCCTCGACAAGGACTCTTTGCAGACCTATATCCCCACGCCTGCGTAATTTCCTCGACGCACAGCGCTCGCAATGGTCTGAGACAGTTTTCGGGTTGCTCCGGGTCAATAAGCAACAGTTGCAACCCGCGTCCGTATCAATCCGCAATCGCGTCCTCGTTATACGCCAGGGTCTATAGTAAAGGTTTTTTAACCATTCAACCGCGATTTGTGAGTACAGTCAGGCTGTTTTCTACCTCCCAGCGATCATTGGAGGCCAAGCCGAACGTCAAGTCGACCGGCGGTCAGGGAGTGAGGTCAGAGATACACCAGGATCAGGAGCATGAGGACATCGAGAAAGGTTTTGAGTTATCGGAGAGAGCCGCTCAGGCAGCACAGGTCAACCTCAGTGCGAAGCTCGCCAAAGATGGTGCTGCTGGAAAGAAGGCCGGGTTCAGGGAAATATGGAGGCTCTTACTGATCGCTCGACCGGAGGCGAAGAAGCTCGCCTTCGCCTTTCTTTTCTTGCTGGTATCGTCGGGAATTACAATGTCCATTCCATTTTCAATTGGAAAGATTATGGATACGGCCACAAAAGCGACTACAGAAGGTGGTAATGAGCTCTTCGGTCTGAGCCTTCCCATGTTCTATGGTGCGTTGGCTGGTATTCTCACTCTGGGCGCTGCGGCGAACTATGGTCGCATTATCATCCTGCGTATCGTTGGTGAGCGCATCGTCGCCAGACTTCGCTCGAAACTCTTCCGCCAGACGTTTGTGCAAGATGCAGAGTTCTTCGATGCGAATCGGGTCGGCGACTTGATTTCTCGTCTTAGCTCTGATACCATTATTGTCGGCAAGAGTATTACACAGAACTTGTCCGATGGACTGCGCGCGGCAGTTAGCGGTGCAGCAGGGTTCGGTTTAATGGCCTACGTCAGTCTCAAGCTCTCCAGTATACTGGCCCTCCTTCTCCCTCCTATCGGCCTTGGGGCGTTTTTCTACGGACGAGCGATTCGAAACCTGAGTCGTCAAATCCAGCGGAATCTTGGAACCCTGACTAAGATTGCGGAGGAGCGTCTGGGCAACGTCAAGACTAGCCAGTCCTTTGCTGGCGAGGTTCTCGAGGTTCGCCGGTATAACAATCAAGTGCGAAAGATTTTTGAACTTGGCAAAAGGGAATCCTTGATCAGTGCCACATTCTTTAGCTCCGTACGCAACTGTCACCCAACCCTACCGCTTATCATAGATCTAACTTTATCTAGACCGGGTTTGCTGGCAACATGACCATCCTGGCATTGCTCTACGTCGGAGGAGGCATGGTCCAATCTGGTGCCATAACCATTGGAGAATTAACTTCATTTCTGATGTACACGGCGTACGCAGGGTCAAGCATGTTCGGTCTTTCGAGCTTTTACTCTGAACTGATGAAAGGTGTCGGGGCAGCTAGTCGACTGTTCGAATTGCAGGATCGTCAGCCAACCATATCTCCAACCAAGGGCGAGAAGGTCGTTTCGGCGCGAGGTCCCATTCGCTTCGAAAACGTGACTTTTAGTTACCCGACTCGGCCTGCTGTCCCCATTTTTAAGGATCTCAATTTCGAAATTCCCCAAGGGACCAATGTTGCCATCGTTGGGCCCTCGGGAGGTGGAAAATCAACAATCGCTTCCATCTTGCTCCGTTTCTACTCTCCTACTGAAGGAAGAGTTCTGATTGGTGGCAAAGACATTACCCATATGAACGCCAAATCCCTTCGACGAAAGATTGGCATTGTCTCCCAAGAGCCTGTCCTATTTTCGGGGACCATCGCGGACAACATTGCGTATGGTAAGCCTCAGGCCAAACGGTCAGAGATCGTTGCAGCTGCGCGCAAGGCGAACTGTCAGTTTATAAGTGACTTTGTAAGTTATCCGACCTCCTTTTTGGTTTACACATGCAGCTGACTGTGTTGTCCAGCCGGATGGCCTTGACACCCAGGTGGGACCCCGAGGCGCTCAGCTTTCTGGTGGCCAGAAGCAGCGCATTGCCATTGCCCGGGCTCTGATCAAGGATCCCGATATTCTCATACTCGATGAAGCAACTTCTGCTCTTGATGCAGAGTCGGAAACTCTTGTGAACAGTGCTCTTACCGCGCTCCTTCGTGGTAACAATACTACCATCAGCATCGCTCATCGACTCTCTACTATTAAGAGATCCGATACGATTATTGTCCTTGGTCCCGACGGAAGGGTAGCCGAACAGGGCAGTTATGACGAGCTCAGTGCTCGCCCTGACGGCGCCTTCACAAAGTTGATGGAATGGCAGATGAGCGGCGGCGAGGTGACAGACCAGCGCGTAAACTCTCCTGCCAACCCGGTGGCGCAGGAAACCGATTGGGACATGCAGAGTGAGGATGTGACAGAGGTGTCCGAGGACACCAGCGTCCCCTCTGAGTCGCGTAAAAGTGATTAGTGCTTTAGATGGATTATCGGGGCCGGAGGCGCTCACATAGACTCCCTTGCATGCCCGCTTATTTCTTTCTGTTTCCTTACGTTAACTCCCCTCTTCGCGAGTTTGGCATCTTGATCTATAGAATATTCCCTTTGTGTCTATAAATTTCTTCTTAGACGGTCAATAGTGTCAAAGCTGGCGGCAAGCGTTATTGAAGAAATAGGTCCCTTGGGAAGACCTCATAACCGGGCATGTAGTGAGAAAATTAAAACTATACGCACAACCAGCGCGCTCACGAGTCGCATTCATCTGCAGCACTCTCAAACCGTAGAATTGAAATCGGTGATCGTCGAGTCTCCTCTCTGGAGTATTTCATAGGCTATCTCTCTATGCAACCGAAAATAAGGCAACAACACATGACGTCGCAGGTCACAAGTCTTGGCACTAATCCTCCTGACAGCACCTTTGACTGTCACTGCTAAGCACCTTGGCTTCATTGTGGGCTGAGGTTCGTGAAAGCCATCAAATGTTAACCATGGCTTGATTGCTTCCTTTTGCTTTATCCAGTTCGCATTGTTGGAAAGGACTGAACGAACCATATAGAACAGCAATGGATCGCATTCGGCGGTTGATCACTCGCCCACAGGCCTACGAGCCGATACAGCACCCTACGGGGGTTGATGACGACGATCATGGTTCAATCTCCCCTCGATCACAGCATGAATTGCCTTTCTCCAGATACGAATATGCTGTATTCTTTATTCTGGGGGTGTCAATGCTGTGGGCATGGTACGTTCCTCATACCTGTGTCACCTCCCTCCTCATCTGGCCCATGTCCTACCGCTCTCACATGAAAGCTTTCTGACTCTGCCGTACTTGGATTAGGAACATGTTTCTTGCCGCTGCACCGTATTTCTATCTCCGTTTCCGGTCGGACAACTGGACAGCAACCCATTTCCAGCCCTCGATTCTGACAGTGTCAACCATCACTAACCTGGGGTCCGCGTTCATTCTCGCCAAACTGCAGAAAGGGGCCTCATACCCGAGACGAGTAACGCTTTCTCTACTTATAAATATTGTCGTCTTCTCGCTGTTGGCGCTTTCGACAGTCTTTATGAAAGATGTTGATGTCAAAGCCTACTTCAGCTTTCTGATGTTCATGGTATTCGGGGCAAGCTTAGCAACCGGCATCAATCAGAATGGCGTATTTGCCTATGTGTCTGGGTTCGGGAGAGAAGAATATACACAGGCCATTATGGCAGGACAGGGAGTAGCTGGCGTGCTTCCGTGTGTCGTGCAAATTATCTCTGCTTTGGCAGTGCCGGAGAGAAAGGGACAAAACTTGCCTCAGGCTTCATCAAAGTCCGCATTTATGTATTTCATCACTGCCACCGCCATTGCTGCTATTTCACTGGTCGCCTTCCTTTCCCTTGTCAGACGACGGTCGGGTATATCTCTACAGTTGACAGAGGAACTACACGATTCAATCTCCTCTGGTTATGCTCATAAGACGGTGAGTCTCTGGGTTTTGTTCAAGAAGCTACGGTTTCTTGCATCGGCTCTATTCCTTTGCTTTGCCATTACTATGGTGTACGCGGTGTTCACCGCAGAAATCGAGTCCGTACATCAAGATCCCAATCGTTCCCGGTTATTCTCTCGAGAAGTCTTCATTCCAGTGGCTTTTCTCTTTTGGAATGCCGGTGATCTAATTGGGAGAATGTCAGTCATTTTCCCCAGTCTTTCATTAGCCCATCGTCCTTGGGCCTTTTTCGTCATTTCTGTGGCCCGCCTTGGGTTCATCCCACTTTACCTGCTTTGTAATATTGGCGGGAGAAGGGCCATTGTACAGAGTGATTTCTTTTATCTCTTTGTCGTGCAGCTTTTGTTCGGGGTTTCCAATGGATACCTTGGCAGCAGCTGTATGATGGGAGCTGCTCAATGGGTTTCTGTGGATGAACGAGAGGCTGCTGGTGGGTTCATGAGCATGGTTCTTGTGGGTGGCTTGGCTGCAGGAAGTCTCATGAGCTTCCTTGTCGCCAACATATGAATGTCCTCTGGGAGGCAAGAGCATATAGACGGTATAGGCTTGACCTATAATATTCACGGATCATGACCATATAATGCTAGGTTCGTTACATTGTCCAATAAGAGGACTCGCCATTCCTCCTTGAGCACAAGGACATGAATGAGTATCCTGACTCACCTCCTTTGTTCTGTATTTCTCGGTAGCAACACCTCACTGCGCCCCGTACTCTGTGACAACCGCCCTCGCTTCTCTCCTGTCCACACATTTTCCTATCAAGGCTACCTTCAACGCCCGCGCTCTTTTCGCAGTCCACCTTCAAGTGTTGATTGGTTATCCCGCTTGAAGATAGTGCATTGTTGCACGTCGTTCTAGATATGATGGAATTCGGTTTTGAGATGGGCTCGACACTCTAGCTGCAGGTAAGGTAGAAGTGAGGGACAGTGAAGGATCAGTCCATGAGTAGACACCAGTGGCTGATCGTCAACCTGGCCTTTGTCCTCCTTCTGTTGTACTTGAGTGCGCCGTGATCTTATCATCGAATTAATTACTCTCAGACCACCGGTGATGATCGATGATCTGTCTCCAACAACATACTCTCGGTGTATACTTCACATTCCGCGGTCCTCATTCTCTAATCTGATGAGAAGCATCGCCGCATATCAAGATCTACTACAAGTAAAGTTCAATATTTAACTTGAAATGGTTCCGTGGATTCACGATATCTTCGATAGGCTAATGCTCCCGGCAATGCTGAGTTGGAGCATTCTTCTGGTTCGTAGAGAAGCAATCACAAACCGCAAGCTATCGTCGTCGAAAGCTGACCAGACAACAGGGCTCTATCTACCTGATCGGCCACTCAATCTATGCAATATATTTTCATCCTTTGAGCCGATATCCAGGACCCAAAATTGCTGCTATATCTCCAATTGCTCTTCTTGTTTGGGAGATCTGTGGCAAAGTGCACTCAAAAGTTAAAGATCTTCACGACAGGTATGGCGACGTGGTCCGCATTGGTCCCAATGCTCTCGTCTACCGGGCTCCACAGGCCTGGAAGGAGATATACGGACACAGAACGAACAAGGGCCAAAGAACATTCCAAAAGGATCCTTCCCTCTATGTCCCGACACCTAATGGCGTGAACGCAATTATCACAGCCGCAGAGTCCGATCATATTCGCATGCGGCGGCTCCTCGCCCACGCATTCTCGGACAGGGCCCTACGGGAGCAGGAACCGCTACTGCACCTCTATGCCGATCTTCTCGTCCACAAGCTGCGCGAGCAACTCGATCATTCGCACTCGGAGGTCGTTGATATCGCCAGGTCTTACAACTACACAACGTTTGATCTCATCGGCGACCTCGCCTTTGGCGAGCCGTTTCACTGCCTGAAGGACAGCAAGTATCACTGGTGGGTATCCATCATGCTCGACGCAGTCAAGCTCAGCGTCTACCTCAAAGTTCTTTGGTTCTTCCCCTTCCTGAGCCCCTTGACGAAACTGCTGGTCCCGAGCTACCTGCATCATCGACGAGAGGCAAGTTTCCAGTTGACCGTGGAGAAAGTCAGCCGTCGGTTGCAGAGACGGACAAACCGCCCAGATTTCATCTCGTATATTCTCAGGCATAAAGACGACGAGAACCGCATGTCGCGGCAAGAAATCGACGCTAACGCCGCGACTTTGGTTCTGGCCGGCAGTGAGACCACAGCTGCATTGCTATCTGGGTGTACCTTCTATCTTCTGAAGAACCCGCCTGTCTACCGCCGACTGGTGACTGAGATCCGTAGCAGGTTCAAGGACCCATCGGAGATTCGGTTATCGTCTATCGCCGCGCTTTCTTATGTCAATGCCGTGCTGGATGAAAGCCTGAGAATCTATCCTCCAATCCCTGCGATGTTACCGCGGCTTGTTCCCGAGGAAGGGGCGATGATAAATGGAGAATACGTCCCTGCTGGGGTGAGATTGGGGCTCTATTGAACCCTCTTCGATTCCCTTCTGCTAACCCTGGAGTAGACATCGGTCTCAATATCTCTCTGGTCCACCTTCCACTCAAGCGCGAACTTCCACGACCCGGATTCCTTCATTCCTGAACGCTGGCTCGTTAGTCCTGAGGAAGAGGCAAATGGACGCTTTTCTATGAACAGGAAAGAGGCCTTTCAGCCCTTCTCATACGGGCCTCGCAATTGTCTTGGCCAACAGTAAGTGATTCAGCTCTGGAGCCAGATTCGAAACCTTCAATAGATTGCTCTCAATTCGTCAGATAAGTAATTCTTTCTAGCTTAGCAAATGCGGAAATGCGGCTCATCCTAGCCAAGGTCTTCTGGCATTTAGACATGGAACTATGCCCTGAAAGCGAGGACTGGGCTGCTCAGGAATCCTACAACTTGTGGAGTAGGCCTCCGCTGAAGGTTAGGATCTCTCGCGCCGATGGCAGGTATGAAGAAGACATCATGGTATAGCTCAGCGCTGCCTTCAGGTAATGTAGCTTCACAAGTCGGTTTCCTCATCCATAATCAGCTGCGCACTTGGATTCATAGCTGGATTCTCCAGTTTGAAAAATGGGTTCAATGGCATGCAAGAATGAAATAGTGCTAGTTCCTCGGATTGCAGCCTAAATAGTCAAATTGAACATTTCCTCCACTCCAAAGATGAACATGATGGAAAAATGCAGAGCACGAAAATAGCGATGGCGGTGCGGATGCGAGGAGGTTGCTCGAAAACAAAAAATAATAATACAATGTCCGGTAAGATGCTACCATTGCGATGAACCCGTATGATTCTAATGTAACTAACTCCGAAATAAAATGACGCCTCCCAGATGCAGGTGTATCAATGATGCGGTTCAGAAAAAGTCCTCCTCGCTTAGCCACTGCGAGTCAATCGCGTAAGCTACCAGATCCGCAGCACAGCACATGTCTTTATGGCCACGTTCGAGATCTAGCAGGTCTAGAACAGACTTGAGTCTGTCCTCGAGTGACTTCTTTAAATCAGCAACCCTTTTGTTTGCTTCCGTGATATGCATTTGCCCAAGAAGTGGCTGCTTAGCTTTCTCGCCCGATTTTTTCGCCTGCTTCGTCTCGATATTTTTGTTGGGGGAGCAGGGGGCCAGTGGTGATCTTGTTGCGGCCGGTTGAGAGGGCTCGGTCTTGCGATTCTTGAGAAGGGTTTTTAGGATGAACAAAAGCCAAATGAGATTCGTTCGAGGCGCATATTCCGCCCAGATCCCTGGAATATCGGGGGTCTTTTCAGTGTCGACCGGATTTCCTGTGTATACCTCTGCGCGCATACTAGATATCAAATTAATATCATGATTGCCGTACAATATGTTACGAAAGGGTCGGTCTTACTGCCTATACGTGTCCCTCAACAGAATCTCGTCCTCGTCTCGGCCGATGGCATCGAAAATTTGCTTCTTGTCAAGATCAGATGAAGCAATGTCCACAATCCGATCGGATTCCTCACTGGCTCGCAGCTCCGCGCGTGAGAGAGAGTAGTCAATGATCGTGGTTTCCAATGTGCTCAGGCCGAAGCCGCTGGTCCATGTTTGACGCATTATTTCGATATCGGATGGAGGCGCCATACAGCCATCCGAACGAGTTGTCTTGATACACACATTGCCGAGGTGAAGATCTCGGTGCTTTAACATGGTAAGACACTGGCTATTTCCGTGCATACTGTGCTAGTACTCACCTCGAACAGTGCATATTCTTCCGCTCGGGCGAGGGCCATTGCAACGCCCCAGAATATGTCATAAATTTGAAAGATCGACGACCAGGAGAATTTCTCCAATTCACAGCCGGCATCATCCATCTCCACTATCGCCCACAGCTGTTTATCCGGATACGCCCTTTTACTCGAGGGGTTAGGATTCATGCAATCGTCTTTTGTCTTTTTGTAATGATCCCACGCAGCTTGAAATGAGTCCGGAAATCGACCCTGAACGACGTGGATTTCTCGAAAACGAGCAAATCCTGGAATTGGATCCAAGTATTTGAGCATTTTGACCTCGGAGACGATTTCCTCAATGCTGGTAAATTTTTTCGAACCGGGGCCGCTCTGCGCTCGTAACGGTACGACTTTGAATACTCCATCTCCGTAGGCCCTTAAGCGCGCCAGCTTCGACTTGGACATCTCTTTCATGCAAACTTCCTCTCTCAATCGCAGCTTGTATACCTCTCCGTAAGACCCTTCGGCCAGTTTCACAACCTCAAGCGCATTGCCAGCTCGAGCAGCCCACGAGCTGAATTTCTGGACACCTTGAGCGGCAATCGGCGATACAGCCTCGTCAAGCACGGCGCGGACATACGCGTTGACTTTTGCGTCGGGGACGCAGCCTGAGGATAGACGTCGTGCGGACTTCTTCTGCGTCGTCTTCCTAGCTTTGCTGCCTGTAACAGTCTCATCTTTCTTCCCGCCCGTAGGTTCTGTCTCAAGTTTCCTCGGTGTTATTCTGACCTCTACCATTCTCTCATAGCGTTTCTCTGATTCCGGGGTATCATGCCCTGGCGAAGGAGTACAGGCGATCTTTGGGTCCACAGCCTCCAGTGTTGGTGTGGGCTTATGTTCCACTTCGTTCTCTTCATGCAAGGATTGTGCAGGTTCCTGCTCGTTCCCCGAGTCTGCAGGAGGTTCGTTCAATGTGACTTCAGCCAATTTCGCTTGTATGCAGTCCACAGCATGCTGAACTGATTTCTCTGTCGCCTTTTCCAGTGACTTTATTGGGCTGCGCTGTTCAAAGACCGCTCGTGGCGCATCGACTCTCCGTTTTCCATAGACTCTTCTTTGGGCACCGCGTGCTTTCGAGGTTGGTTTCGAATCCCATATTGTTGGGTAGGTTGCAGGCGTTGGTGAGGGCGGTACCAGCATCGTGATGTGCTATTAGTATCGGTTGATGTATGTATGTTGGACTTTCAGGGAATCGGGCCATTAATTGGTTTATCTTGCTGTTGATTCAGGTATTCATAAGAGGACAATCTGGACGTCAGGGCTATTGATGTATTGCCCAACCCGGACTAGTGACGGAGTTGCCCGGTGAACCCCTGGCATTCGGTGGTTTCACGTGACTCGATGTATATACATGGGTTTTTCATTGTTGGTTCATGATTCAACCCTTGTGTGAGAGGAACTTATTCGACAGACACTTCTTATTAAATGAAGGCTTGCAGACTTGATTCAGGGCACCCGTGCTCTTGTATCCTGCCAAGTGGGATGATAGCTGCGAGTAGACACATTCCCGCTGTTATCTCGAGGGCCGCAGACCTACTCCATAAGGATGGAAGATACATCGTACGGAGTAAAAGGTGGGACTAATTCACTAGGGCCATATAGCCTACTACCTGATACATGATACGCGCATTCCTAAGGTGATATGATATGGCCATTATCTGATAGTTCACTAATTGAACAGAAGAAGAGAGCCTCAGTCATCCATTGCGAGTATGCGATCCGCGTGATCAGACTCGGTTGCGCAAGGACATCCGCATGCCAAATAAAAAAGTTTTGGACCTCATGTTCATAGCGCAGAACTACCCAGGGCCATGTATGGTATGAGGCCGCGCCTTTGTGGAAGTACAGACAGAGGATGACTGTCAGATCGTGCAAGAAAAGCACATGAGACGTCCCTCAAACATGGGCATAGCCGTGATGGAAACATACCATGGACAGCTTTGTGCTGTAGTCATTGACCAGTGCAGTCATCACCAGCGTTCAATTATCACCCTCAGACGGACATCGCCAAGTCCATTCAGCGAGGTTGCGCAGAAAGATTGGCAGAACGGCTGGCTCCTCAAGCAATTTCCCTGTAGACCTCTTTTTTGGGAAAACTAGACCCGAGAGCAGCGGGAAAGGAATCTGGCGCCCGATGATCTTAAGCTCTTAGCCAAAGCATAACTGTCCGGCGGCGTGATTGCAATTGATGTTTTCTGTCACTCCTGTCACATACGAAACCTTCCAAAACAACCATCATGATGAAGGTTTAATGACGGGATAACTTGGGACGGGCTTGTTAACTAAAATCAATGCAAGGGAAGTGGTGGTCTTAAGATCTGCACTATTGCAACTGGTTATGGCCCGTTGGTTGCCCGCCAGATGTTCCAGAACCCGTCTGAAATGAGGCTAGTCATTGAAAATTGTCACAGATCTTTGCCGGGTGCTGACAATACAGAATAACTAAAGAGCTTGGATTAATTGAAGCAAGGAGGTGCAGGTGCGGGGAGAGAATTATAATTGTCATTGAAGATTGAAGACTGTCGAACGGAGACAGTGCATAACTTCCCGTATACCTAGTCTAAGGTAGTTCTAGCCAGAGGATGGGAAACACAGAATCTTCTGAATAATAATGTCTACGGAAAACTCGGGGTAGGCCGGAACAGAAGATGGCGGGTTTGATGGAGTCCTGGGGATAAATGGAGTCATCTTGCTATTATTGTTGCATTATTACTTGCGGCGAGATCTCTAATTAATTTAGTATGCCTGAGCGACTCCATAATTGTGCATATCATTATCACTAGAAATAATATTACTAAGTAGGTAATAATGGAGGGAACCTGCATGAGGAGTGTGGTAGAAGCCGACTGAGAGTGACGTATTTTTTGTTTTCGTTCCTATTTTCGCTTTTTCCTTCCCGCCCCCTTGAGGATTGTAAGACGGATACGGATAATACAACCACTGAGTATAGTGCCAAAAAACAATATCAACTCTATCAGTCCTTGTTTGTAGTTCTGCAGCTTTTCAGTAATCATTGACATGGGCTAAGCGTAAAAACTAGACCACGACCTCAAGATCATTGATTAAATCGAACCTCATCATCAGGTGTCGCGTGGATCACGCGAGTCAACTTGCCATCTGGGTACTTTACCCACTGTACCGCCGGGAGCCCCTGCGACCTCGGGAATCCTCGCTTCAACCATCATTTTTCACTCCTCTTTCTTCCTTTCGCATGAACCCATAGCCTCATTGCTCTTTCATCGCATCAACTCCTCCTCGCATCCCATATTCTATCCATCTCTTCTTTCCCGTTTCATCCTCTTCCTCACTTTCTCTTATTCCCTTTACGCCTTACCTGTCACTTACCCGTCATTCAAGGACGGACATAATTTTTTTCTTAGCGCGCCGTGGGTTCCGTCAGCTAACCCTTCCATCTTCGCTCAATGCTTTGCTATGGCGTTCAACTTCAACTGGTCGCCGCTTATGGCGGATGCGAGTTTCTACACTCGTGCGCAAGATTTATTAACGGCTGCGCTCAATAAGTCGCCGAAACCGCCCATCATCGTCGACGATATCATCGTAACGGAACTCAACCTTGGTTCCATCCCCCCGGAGCTGGAGATCTTGGAGATTGGAGACCTGGCGGAGGACCGGTTTCGAGGCATCTTCAAGATGTCCTATACGGGAGACGCATTTCTGACTCTCAAAACGCGAGTCCAAGCGAATCCGCTGAATACATATCTCCTCACACGACCATCCTTTGCAACGCCCCGACCTCTGGCTGCAGCGTAAGTGGCGTAGATTTCGCTGTCGCCTCTGCATGAGCTGACCCTTTCTCCAGTACTCCTCTGACAATACCTCTCCAAATCACTCTTTCCGATTTTAAATTATCCGGCTTCGTCATCTTGGTCTTCTCGAAACAAAAAGGAATCACCGTGGTTTTCCGAAACGATCCGCTCGAATCACTCAAGGTCTCTTCGACTTTCGACTCTATCCCGTTTGTGCGCGATTTCCTGCAGAAGGAAATTGAAGCGCAGCTTCGCATCCTCTTTATGGATGAGTTGCCCGCTATCATCCATCGATTGTCGCTTCGATTGTGGGTTCCGGAGTACCGAGCTGGAGAGGAATTGCAGACTCAAACGGAAAGCGCAAATGGCGAAGGACCTGGTCAAGACCCTCTTGCCAGCCCGCCACAAGATCCCGTCGACGCTCTAGGAAACGCTTTGAACGAGTCGGAAATCGAATCGCTTTCACTGGATTCGTCTGTCGAAACCCATTCACTGTTTTCTCAGAAAAACCTTTTGCGTTTGGCTGCCCTTACGGACTCTCAACGGACACTATCACTCTTCACCCCTTCCATCAGGGAGGTGGTTTACCGCGCATGGACCTCGCCTTCAGATCAGACCGATGCCTCCGGAAGCGTGACGTCACCCTTCAGTCCCGTCCTTTCCAGAACACAGTCCCAGGTTGGCAGTATGTCGTCCTTCCCAGATTCGGCCAGCATGGTTTCGAGCCAGGGTCGGTCTTCGACACCTTCCCACACCTTTAGCGGATATGGCTTGAGTCTAGGGGCTGGCCGTCATTCGAAGGCTCATGCTCGAAAGCGAAAGAAGCGCGTTGTCGATCTGCGTCGCCCAAAGACCACTGATGACGCATCAAGCGTGAGCGATGAGAGCGCATTTAGCGAGTCGACCAGCGCTCCCTCTATCTGCTCAGCCCCTCTGCCAGTCCTAGATGAACAGACCGATGATCCGGTGACGCCGCCCTTGTCCCCGGATAGTGATCTAAACCTTCCTGCCATCCCCGAACGACACCGTATGAGTATCTCTCGGCCTGCGCTCCGCCGTGAGGTTGCGTCAGCGATGATCCGCGATACGGCAGAATCTAAACCATCGTCCGATCCTGTTGTTCAGGACGAGGACCTGAGCGCCACTCCGCGTGCCACTGTGCGCACCCATCCTGCGTCTGGTCTTGAAAAGGGAAACCAGGCCACTGGTTCGTCCGCAGGGTCATCGCGACAGCTACCCTCCACGATTCTTCCGTTTATCAATGACAGTCCTACTGGCGGGGTTGTCGACCAGGCCTTGGTTGAAAGGCTCGCCGGAGAGATTGCTCGTCGCATGCGAGACGAGAAATTCATGGCAAGCAACGCATGCGGCCCTTTTTGGGAACGCCACAGCCAAGAAGAGTCTCCTCCGCCGGCCTATGGCCATTGATTCATATTGTTCTGGACCCCCAAGTCCCTTGTTCTTCTCTTCTTCCTTCCATGGCCCTGTGCCTCAAAATCCAGCAAGTCTGGGAACTTAATGACCGATACGACAATGCCTTTAATTGCTGGTTATTTCGACTATCTTATTCATCTTGGTGTCTCTTTTGAAGCGGGTTCTAGACTTTCTGTGTGATGAACTGTATTTCTAAAAGATTTCGGCGTTCTTTTTTGTCTTCTGTGCGGTGTTTCTTGTATTTTGCGCAGGATACCACTCCTTCACTCACTCGTTTGTCCGAACTGTATATCTGTCTCTGATGTCTCACTCACCCACTCACTTTCTCTCGTTCATATATCTCTTTGTTCCTCTTATATCTAACGTGGTAGCGACTAGCCGTTGGTATTCGGCATAGGATGGGATGGGATGGCGGAATCGAAATTGTGTTGATTCAAGCTTCAATATTACTGGCAACAATTCCTTATTTGCTGCTGAAACGTAAACTACATGAGCACATCCCATTTTCACTATTGATGTCAAGTCTTTGTGTCTAGACAAAGCTCGGTGCTCTCATTGGTATCACTCTTATCTTGGGGTTATGTCAACGGAGCTGCCCAGACTTTGGCTCCCGCTCCACAGACTAAACCACCTTAGCGCAGCTCCGATCGCGAACGTCAAATCGACCCCAACCCTTTCCCTCCTTCTTCGCTTCCTCACTCTCTCTCTCTCCTCTGCCACGTTGCGACAGGGTTCCGTTTGATCTGGTCTTCCTTCCACAATGGCTGGCATGCTAAAGAATATGTTTGGCGGCTCTCAGCCGTCAGATCCAGCCAAAGTCGAGGATGGTGAGTGCTGCCCCATTGGTTCTGGGAAAGCATCGTATGCTCCTTTTCCCTGTTGTCATGCTCCCCTGACCTGTTCTTGTCGCTTTCATAGATTTCGCCGACTTTGTGAAGGCTCCCGAGCCGTCCCCTGCATCCATAGTAGCGGGGTCGTCGTCGGTCCCCGCCCTCGACACCCAGGGTGCCACCGCGGTTCCCTACACAAAATGGTACCGAGTTTGGGAGCGGACCTCTCCCAAGGACTTCATGCAGGAAGCAATGGTCATGCCATTGATCCTTCTGATTGTTGTATTTCACCTCTGGGGCACGCGCAAGAATAGACGGAGAGCTAGGGAATGGGCTCAGGCTCATGCGCCGGCTCTCCAGAGCGAGTTCGCGGTCGTGGGACTCGATGGCGTCCACAAATCCACCGGCGAGGCCGATTCTGCTTCTGCGGAATTGATCTCCCCGGAGTCCATTCTGAAGGAGAAGTCTGCGCAGGAATTCATTTCCTATGCCACCGGCAGACAGAACGTCGCCTTCGTTGACATGTCTATCAAGTTGCCCAAGCGGCACAACCCCATCATTTACTGGTCCGATTATGCTCTCAGCTTTTTCTTCGACAGCTGGCAGGCTCCTACCGAGACATTCGAGGCAGTCGCCTACACCTTTGATGGCAGGGAAAAGGATCTTGTTCCCGTACCCGCCAACGATACTTCGTCCCTGAAGGTGAATAACTCGGCCTACGACGGTTTCATCTGGGCTGTTGTGCACAAGAACCACATGCGCAAGTTCCGCCTGGATCGGTACGATGCGTCGATGACCTTTACCAAGGACAATGCCAAGCTACCGTCCTGGGTTACCGTTATGACAGAAAGTGCCGAAATCACCGATACTCTCCTCACTCCTGAATTGATCCAGGCTATCGAGAAGGCTGGAGACTCTTTCAGATATTTCATTGTCACTGACCAGCCCATCGACAAGCCCTTGAAGTGAGTCATTCCTTGGTTAAAAAGGAACATCGAGACTAATACTACTTCCAGAATCGAGGAGACTACACCCCGGAAGCGCATTCATTATTCCATCTCTCTCCCCTCGTCTGCCTCTGGTTACTCCGCCACCATGCCGCTGTTCAACCAGTTCCTTCGCTTTACTGACAAGCTTGTTGCGTCTGCTCATTTCCGTCCGGAGGTGATGCGCAAGATCAAGCACGTCCGTGAAGAAGAGATCAAGAAGCTTCGCCGCGCTGACGAGGAAGAAAAGGCAGAGGAGCGCAGGCTGGCAGCTGAGAAGATCAAGAAGGAGGAGCGAGAGCGACTTCTCCGTGGCATGACTGCCGAAGAGCAGCGCAAGTTCCTTGAACGCGAATCGCAAAAGGGCCAGAGACGTTCTATGAAGAAGTACACCAAAAGAGCATGATCGCTCTTATATTTGTTCCGATATTGGAAATCGTCCGTCTTCCTTCGGTCCTCCTTACCTTTATATCTATGTATTCATAAATATATTTGTCATGTGCGGGTGCGCGATGTAGCTGGGATTCGGAAGATGATGAAAAGCTTTCTTGATGGAATGCTGACTTGGCAAAGATATACTTTCGAAAATCATTTACGAAAATCATGCACTTGGCCTTTTTATGTCATTCATAATCTTCCTGTTCGAAAAGGTGGTAGTCCATAAAGTGCATGCTCTAACATCTCCCTCAAGACCCTTGAAAGAGCATGCTTCTCTACATCATTAGAAGTCTTCATCGCCTCCTTCCCATATTCTTTCCACTCAAACTGCAAGTACAATCCTCGCAAACGATGCAGCAGGCATGCCTTCCTTATCCCGCACTACGCCTTCCTCGTCTTCCCTTCTCTATCTCTGGCAAAAGGCTATAAATGTTCTGCGCCGAGTGTACTGTGTCCAATGCTGATTCCCTTCTTCTTCTCACTGTTCCTATCCAGACCTCTAGACTCTTACCTATACCACTAACTGAAGCACTATCAATATTTCACACTCGTTATTCATTCTTACTCGTTCGCTTAGCTGCCGGTCGTCATCATGGTTTCCTCTCGCTTCTGGGCTATGTCCGTTCTTTTCCTCTCTGCCTCAAACCTTGGTCGCGAAAGCTGGGCATCTCCTCTAAACGGGACCATCGGAAAGCGAAACTCGCCTGTGCCCTTCGGAGCCATCTTGGACAGATGCGTCATTCCTGGAACGGTCGCTTTGACCTTCGACGACGGACCGTTCGTCTACACTTCCGATCTCCTGGAACTCCTCAGTGCATACGGTGCGCGATCGACCTTTTTCCTTAATGGCCAAAACAAAGGGAGCTTTCATGGTGACGCAGCTGTCGTGCGGCGTATTTTCGAAGAAGGCCATCAGATTGGTTCGCATACGTACGTATTCCCCGGTTCAATCATCCAATGCAGGAGCTCACAGTTGTGCTTAGCTGGGGCCATCCTTATCTCACCTCATTGGACTATCCTGCCATTGTTGCGCAGATGACCCAATTGGAAGATGCCTTCATGCAAGTCCTAGGATTCTATCCGACATACATGAGGCCGCCTTTCCTCGCTTTCAATGGGGAGGTGTTGTCGGCCATGGGTGACCTGGGGTACCATGTCATCAGTGCGAGTATCGACACGAAGGACTATGAGAATGACCATCCCGATTTGATCTCCCGCAGCTTTGAAAAGTTCCGGGCCGAGTTGAACGCCGGCGGAAGCATCATCCTGTCCCACGACGTGCATGAACAAACCGTACATACGTTGACAAGGGCAATGCTTGAGGAGATCCGCGCGAGAGGATTGCAGAGTATGTGTCTATTGACAATGTGATTTACACTTATCAAATGCTAATCCGTGCGACAGCGGTCACTGTTGGAGATTGCTTGGGGGATCCGGAGGCATTTTGGTACCGAACATCGCGATGAGTCACGGGTCCTTGTAGTTAGTTTGTGCTTGTCGCCTTTGATTGCCGTTCATTGTTTTACACCCTCTTCAGGGATCAATGATTGATTTGGAGCTTTCGCCTTTGGTTAATTGTTCTGCTGTGTTGAACATGCCTCATTTGGCTGTTTGTCGCGTACGGTAACTTTACTAAGTTATCTCTTATTGTACGGACTAGGTAGCAGTTAGGTTTAATGTATGTATACAACGAACGATCTTCGGCTCAAACTCGGAAAACCCTCGCATTTTCCCCCTTTGATACCATTCTCTCGCCACTCAGGAGAAATTTTGCACCGTGTTAATTTTATTTTGTTTATTGGACTGGCGGTCCGAGCTGTTTAGAGGTATAAATGTAAAGAATGCTCGAAGCTGGTCAAAATGGTTGTCCGAGTGCTCCTGATTTCACGTTAACGTCACGTCTTTTTTTTTGGGCCGTCACCCGACATTACCAGCGGCGAAGAAGAGAACCATTCTTCTCTACCCAAACATTTTACCAGGTCTCAATTTGAATTTCTGCATTGAGAAAAGGCTCCACGGTGAAACTACCAGTTATCCATTCGAAACGTCCTCTACCTGCTCCACTGAATATCGGACATCGAATCTTGAACACCGAGCATCCTATACTTCTACGGCTTCCGCCGCCTCCACCAATTAATTATATACAACCCACGATGGGCGACCTCCGCACCAAACTCAAGCGGATACTGAGTCTCAAGGCACTTCGTCAACGATTATCAGATGCGGGATGGGTCCTAGCCGCCAAGCAAGACCTGGACGATACTTATGATTTTCCTCAGAGTCGATATGCGGGCCAGGGGTATGATAACTACAACTTTCCTGCGTCCAGGTGGGCGGGACAAGGGTATCAACAAAGATAAATCATATTGCCTCCGGATGTTTTGACGTCAAGTGTGACCAGTGCAGTGACGAGTGATGACCTTCATGCTGGGTATATCTCTATATGTATTATTGTATATATAATCTCTAATCTAAATCTCTTTAATCGCATCTAGTGTAGTGGCTCGAGGATGAGGTCGGGTTGTCATAGTTTGCCAAAGATCTTAACCCGCTCTTCGATGGGTTTCTGGGTCTTCTCGCCTGGCTCGCCCTCGGGGCTACCGAAGACAAGTTGTGCGATGAGGCGCCACTCCGAGGGGATGTCCCATTGTTTGGCGACGGGGGCGTCGATGAGGGGGTTGTAGTGTTGGAGGTTTGCGCCGAAACCGAGGGACTCGAGGGCTGTCCAGACTGTTTCGTG